TGCATATCAGATATTTACATTATGATTCATAACAGTAGCAAAATTAGTTATGAATAGCAACAAGCATAATTTTATGGTTGGGGGTCACCACAACATGAGGATTAAAGGGTCACAGCATGAGGAAGGCTGAGAACCACTGATCGATGGTCTTTATAACTCCCAGCAAATAATTGGAAATGAGGTGCAGACGACTCTGGTTCTCACTCAAAAGATTGGTCAGTTTTGCCATTCTGCTGGGTGAAAGGGCGCACCAGCTCAGAAGCAAGAAGAGAAGAATCCCACAACCATCAAGAAAGGAGAGCCACTGGAAGAGCTGTGTGAGATTCCTGCCTGTAGCAGAGTGCAGAGGCTGCAGCCCTGAGACCATCAGACAGAGCACAGGAGGACTAACAGAATGCAATCACCAGGCAGAGCAGCAAGCTTCTAGGCCCACTGAACAAGTAAAGCTGTATGCCTTCAGGCAGGAGGCTGGCCTGAAAAATTGCCCTTTGGGCAATTACCAGTGCTAAAGGAGCTTTGCAAAGTAGAAGCCAAGGATGAGGCTTGCCCTTCGAAGTGGCTGAGAAGAGGTGCAGCAGACAAAAGAACTATATTCTCAGTGTTTTCTGATCTGACTTGATGTAGCCTGTTAGCTTGCTTACTAACCCCCCCAAATTCTGAGTATTGTTTTTGAGTTCTGTGTGGTCATTGTAATGGATTACCAAACCCAGCAGAGGAGTGGCTGGAAAGGTGATTGGTGTTCGAATAGGGTAAAAGAGGGTGGAAGCTAGAAGTATGTCTGATAGGAATTACCCTTCTACGGATGTACAGTTGGATTTTCCTTCCCCTTTGTATTGCTGGAGGAGGTCAGATTTGTTCATCATGCCATTTCCTTTTATCTTTTTACACACGGGTGAAAATAAGGCACTGGAGAGTTATGCAACTTAATCAAGATCATGTAGTTAATAAGTGGTAGAACTGTGATTTGAACCCAGGCTGTCTGGATTTAGTTCCAATGTGAATGAACAGTACTTAAGTTAAAAAAAATTACAGGTGAAGATTATAATTGAATATCTTATAGTGATAATTACATTAAGTTTCATTTATCAAATAATACTTTTCAAACCAGAGTCTGACTTTTTGATCTAATAAATGTGACAAGAAAAAAAATCATATAAAAATATCAAATTGCTACACAAGGTGGCTTCACAAAGTCATCGAAAAATGGAATGAAAAGATAATGAAAATTCTCCACAAACTTTTTAAGCCCTCTCATACAAAAATGCCATTCAAATAAGTTTAAGGCAAAATTTACCTTGATTCTACAGGGAAAGGTTCATAGAGAAATTTTTTGTAAAAGTCTTTTTTTATGTCATGGACCAGAATTACAGCTTTGCCTTGGTCATCAAACTGAGGCCTTCCAGCACGCCCCATCATCTGGAGTACATCTATAACAGGAGTACATAAGGAATATTTCATAAAGTGGCACATAGCACACGGTGTATTTACTGATCCTGGTATGCTTCTCTAACACAGAAGAATAAAGATAATACTTAAGAGCATGTGA